CACGGTGGTTGGAGGTCCTCCAGGACTATCAATTTACGACCACTTACCGTAAGGGGTTGTGCCACACCAACGCGGATGCCCTGTCACGGTTGTCGCCTCGTCCCGAATGTGCGTGCTTGATGGGATCGGCGCGCTGTAAACAGCATGTTGCTGTACCCGAGGGTGAGTTGGTCGCGGCCGCGAATGCACCATTGGTTGACGTTCCCGCTACTCCTGCGGGCGGGGACTCGCTACTCTCACTGTCTCTCGTTCAGTGGGGCCGACTCCAGATGGCTGACAGATCCCTGCTCTCGTTGCGTCGCAGGGCGGGGGGTCCCGAGAATGGTCAGAAGCGAGCTGGCTCCTGGTTGCTTAAGCAGAGCCTGCTAATGAGATGGGACAATATGTCCCGGCGGCACGCACTCGTCGTGCCTTCCGCCATGCGGGGCAAAGTTGTTCTGGCCGCACACGAACGCCTCTTGCATCTGGGAGTAAACAAAACGCTCGCTCTGCTCCAGCGTGACTATTATTGGCCGGGGATGGGGAGCGATGTGGTCAATATACTGAAGGGGTGTGTGGATTGCGCGAAATGGAAACCACCGCCCGTTGCGCCAAATCCACCACTGCAGTCCATTCAGGTCTCGCGCACTAACGAGCTCGTTGCGCTGGATATTTTGGGGCCTTTTCCTGTCACGCCTAGGGGTAACAAGTACCTGCTGGTTGGTGTGGAATACTTTACTCGATGGCCTATGGTGTGGCCACTCGCCAACCAGTCGGCGGCGGCCGTGGCGGACTCCTTTGTCCAGGGCTACGTCTTGGACAAGGGGGCTCCCGAACGCTTGCTGACCGACCAGGGGAAGAATTTTTTAGAGCAAATTGCTGCATGAGGTGTGCGACCTTTTGGGTACAAAAAAGGTGCGTACCTCCCTGTACCACCCACAGACTGACGGGATGGTGGAGCGACTCCACAGAACTTTAACTTCCATGTTGTGCCAGCAGGTGTGCGAGGCGCAGGTTGACTGGGACTTGCAGGTCCCGGGGGTCCTCGCCGCGTACAGGATGGCCCCCCATGCAGATACGGGATTTTCCCCATTTTATCCGATGTACGGTCGGGAGGCCGATCCGCCCATGGAGACTCAGCTGGGGCTTTCCGTGCCACGGCCTAATTCCAAGTTGGCCGACCATATTAAATTTAACATTGCAAAACTGGTCGAGGCACGGGAGGCCGCACGGCTAAATTCAAGGTCTCGCCAAATCGCCAACGAGCGCTTGCGTGCACAGAAGGTGTCCGTGCACGATTGGAAACCGGGCGATAGGGCCTGGCTGCACTGCCCTCATGCACCATTGGCTACGTCGCCTAAATTATTGAGGCCATGGCGGGGACCCGTGGAGGTAGTGCGGGTTGCACGCCCCCAGTGTGTTCAGATAAAATGGGGAAAGCGCCGTTGGTACGTTCACCCCTCCCGGCTGAAACCGTTCTCGCCACCATATGGCCTTCCTTTATGTCGTGAGGACCGAGCATGTGATGTGACCGACGACCCGGGGAGGGAAATGTCTCCGCCTGATCCTCACATGTTTTCGCCTGATCCACTCCCAGGTGTCTCGGAACTGACGGCTGCCGACCACCGGCGACCGGATCCCCGCGGCACGGGCGGTTCTTCCAGGCCCGAACCGTGCCTTCCTGGGCTGCCGGAGCCACCGGACGGTCGACAGCGTCCCGTCCCGTACGACGGACCGGCCAGGCGGACTCAGCGCTAGATCGCGCCACTTTTCCTGACCCAATAAATGAGGTGGAGGTGCGGGACGAGTTGGCCGGATCGTCTCGTCACGGCGTTCCTCGTCCATTCGACCGCTCTATCGTTCCGTTCAAGGAGCAAGCGGGAGGGGGATCGGGAGTCGAGGAGACACTGGACACGTCGGTCTTTTCAAAATAACTTTTATTGTGTTACTCGTCGGTTTGTACATAGTTCGTTGTTGTTACTGGTTAACGTCGTTGTTGTGTTGTGTTGTTGTGTTGCGTTATGGTTATGTTATGGAACACACTTGGGGAGTGGGGTTTTTTTTTTTGGCAGCCGGGCCGGCTGCGAGCTATGTGGGAGGGGGTGATGTAGTGGTGATACGCGCTGGCAGTAGGGATCGTGTGGCAGCGTGTGGTGATTAGCTGTGTATTGATGATGCGCGCTGACAATGAGGGATCGTGTGGCAGCGCGTGGTGATTGGTTATGTGGTGGTGACACGCGCTGGCAAAAGGGATCGTGTGGCAGCGCGTGGTGATTGGTCAACTAGAGTGGGTGCTCACATCGCGGTCCGCATAGGCTCCGCCCCCTCGGGAGCGGAGGACTATAAAAGGCGATGCGCGCGGGCGCTCGGAGAGTTGGTAACCAGTGAAGACGGAAGACGGAGGAGGAAGAGATAGGGCCCTGAGACCCCTAGCCCCGCTGTCCTTGTAAGGGCCGAGACCCTGTGTGGCTCAGAGGCGGGACCTTGGGACCCGCGGCCGGACGTCCTTGTGAGGGCCGGGCTGCGGGACCCAGTGGTCGTGATCCATACCCCAGCTAGGGTGGGTCTGTGAGTTCCCCTGGAAGCTACGGGGCTGGAGAGCCCGTGTGTGTGTAGCCGGGTGGAACGTGTAGCGTGAGCTGTAGTTGTCCACACGTGTTATTGTGGCTAAGGAAGGTGTTAATAAAGTGTGCTACCCATCAAGTGGTCTCCCGCCGTAATTTACAATATTACATATATATTATGGGGGTGCCACAGCGGCGAGATGTTAACTGCCTCACCTGGTACACAGGAGGTCGTGGGTTCGATCCCGACCCTGACACCTGCTGTGTATTTGGAGTTTGTATGTTCTCCCCATGGTCGCATAGATTATTCTCTGGGTCCACTGGTTTTTCCCTCCACATTTATAATCAACATCACGCGTTTAGAGTATTTGGCTGCTGTACATTTCCACATGATAAGCCACTTCGTTGAGCTATCATTTGTGGCCATGTCATTTCTGAAAAAGAGCTACACAGTTCAGTGGTACGTAGCTGCTAAGATAAAACATAGGTTCGTTCTTAATTTATGTACATAAAACTAACTATTTTATGTTATTTACCATAATTCACGTCCGAGTTGTCCTATTTGTATATCGGTACATACTGAAGCATTTTAATTCCAAGATCTCCCTATAATAGGAAAGGCACATCTAACACTGGAAAGTAACTTGGAAATGCCATCATATGCCACTGCCTGATGTCCTTGAAGATGATATCTTACCCCAACTTCCAGAAACGTGCCCTTCAGCTGTGCAGCCAATTGGGTAATTTTTTCTTTCAAATACACGGAATACAATAGACACAAACGCAGCCATTCCACGTGCGCTGGAATATGCCCATGTAGGCCAATGACAAATGTGTGCATGGTCATCCATTGATTACTGGCCTGAGGCCATCAACTTTAGCTGCCTGTTGACTTTGCAGTAGCTGTGGGATTTAGGGGGAAGAGTGACGGCGAGGAGGGGTTGGCATCAACGGTATTAGCCGCGGTGACCTGTTCACCTTGAGATGCACTGCCAGGAATTTGGTGTGGATCCATTACTCTGAAATGGGAATTATCTTCCTGATCTCTCTCTTTATTTTTCAACACAATAACTTACACATTAATGAATCAATGCATTAATCCCACTCCTCGATTAGTGCATGCATAATTGACGCCATCATATACCAGTAATGCGGCAACAAAATGTGGTGCATGTTTGTGCTCCCTGCGTGTGTGCGGTGGTACGTGTTCGTAGTGGGACGTTACAAAGGAGCTGTAGGGACGTTAGGGAAGAGTTGCGTTAGGAACATCACAAAGACCGCGACATTGCCCATGCCGAGCTGCATCTCGGCGTCAATCACTGGCGGGTTGGTTGAAGGCCAAAGTGATGTGACAATGTGGCAATAAGATGTCGTAACAATGTTGCCCACGGTGGTATGAGCCGAGCGACTGCAGTGGGAGAGAGGAAGAGTCTTCGGGGACTATGGATGACTGGCCTGCCAGTGGCACTTAGCCGCTCGACATGGCCTTGCTCTGTGCAAAGCCTGGCACGATTACTGTGTGGATGTCAATGGTGTTCAGTGGTTGATGAAAGTTCAATCATGTTGCGCGTGTAATACGCGGGAAGTGTAAGCGGCGTTTCGACAGCAAGCCTTTAAATTGCCACGGCATCCGTGCCAAAAAACGCATAATAGGTACTCCCTACATTTATGATTAATTCTAAATGTGTTATTTTTCCTAAACAACCACACACAATAAGCAAAGGGCTGTTATTGAGTAATCACAGCAAATATAATTCCACTGCTAATGCATAGGGAATAATTTTCAAGCTGAACATGTCACACGCGCACACACGCGCATGCACGCTGGTCGTCCGCCGCATTGATCGGCACAGCTGCAATCGGCTGTTAAGCTGAACGTTTGCTGCCCGTGTCCATATTTGATGTTGGATGCTGTCAGCACCTTGGAGGCTGATGTCTGAGTGTCTGCGCGCCAGGCAAGGTGGTGGGGGGTGGCGGGCGGGCCCGCATGCAGCCTCCGTGGGAGCCCGCACTCTACTGTAATCACCACAGCGTGAAATCCAACTGGCAACTGCCTTGTAGTAATCACAGAGCCTCAGGCATGTTGTTGCACATAGCGTGGCGCCCGTTTTTTTCTCTTGTGATATCCAAATTGCCCTCCCTCGGTACAATTATCGAGTGCGCACATTTCTCTTGCCCGTTCGCTTACTCCAGGCGCGCATTAGTTCACACTGCGGCGTGATCTATTGTGTCAGTACACCCTGGTTCCTGATACTTCTCTGTTTGCGCATAACATTACTTATTAAGGTTACTTGTGATTTAAACCGCAGATGAAAGGCAATTTGCTGAAAGTTATTTTTAGAAACTCATAAAGCAGAGTGGGGGGGGGGGGGTCGTGCTCAATAACAGAGCCATTATGAGAGAGGAGATATGAAGCGTGTCAACCGATTTAATTCGACGGAGGGTGGAGGGGGAAAGAAGATCACAAATATCCAGGCGAATTTGTGTTTTGTCTACATTTATATATTTCCCCTGCATTTAAATGCTGTCAACAGATTACAAGAATTCCTAACACTCATTTTCCAAGCACAATAGGTCACATTCGCTGAATCAGACGGTAGATCGTGTACATTTACCTATTTATGCCATCGCTAATTAAAAATGCAGCACATCATAAAACTGAACAAAGAGGAAGAAATGAAAGATGTTGTTTAAATGACAATGTGTACGTTGAACTTATTAACAACGTTCGTAGCCAACCGTGTCAATCGGAGGTGCAGGGGAAGGGCAACAAACGAAACACAAATAATTTCTAAAAAAAGAAATACAAAAGATAGATACAATACAATTTGTACTTAATAATACAACATATTTATTTTATTGAAAGATTTAGACAGTCACAGGCAGAGCAAAAAAATTAAGATCTTGAGCCTGGACTTGAACATGTATGTTGAACTTCTTTTTCACCATACGTAGCCAACCGTGCTAATCGGGGGTGCGGGGGAAGGACAGCAAACTAAACAATGTTTGTTGAACTTCATTCGCACCATACGTAGCCAACCGTGATAAAACACAATTTTTGTTCCTGGGTAGTAAATGCCTATTATTCCCCACAAACTTTGCCTTTGTGACCAGGACATTGATATTTTGAAATTTACCTATTTTAAATGAGAAAACGAGCGAATTTGTGTCTTTTAGTTCCAAAAGTCAGAAAAAAGCATTCACCAAAATTGATATGTATTTATACTAAAGTAATACAAAAATAACTACAAAAGATTTAGAAGTGAGTAGTTTTTCGAGATTACGATTATACTGTAAATCACTTTCACGAATCAGCCCCCAAATGTAGTCTCCCATCATGTTCTCGTTATACTGTCCTTGGTAGCGGCGTTAAAAGTGCAGTATATCCTGGTGGAAGCGCTCGCCTTGCTCCTCCGGGTACGCTCCCATGTTCTCCTTGAATTTATCAAGATGAGCATCAAGGATATGGACTTTGAGGGACATTCTACAGCCCATTGTGCCGTAGTTCTTCATCAGAGTCTCAACCAGCACCACATAGTTTTCGAACTTGTGATTGCCCAGCAAGCCACGAACCACTGCGACAAAGCTGTCCCAAGCCGCTTTCTCCTTACTAGTGAGCTTCTTGGGGAATTCATTGCACTCCAGGATATTCTTTATCTGTGGTCCGACGAAGACACCGGCTTTAATCTTTGCCTCAGACAGCTTAGGGAAGAAGTCTTGAAGGTACTTGAAGGCTGCCGACTCCTTATCTACAGCTCAGGCCCAATTTGATGTACAGTGGTGGCATCAGCAATTCCGGAGGTCCACCAGTGGCTCCCACTTGACGTTGTTCCTCCCCACAGAGAACTCGGTCCGCTGTGGCCAGTCCCACCTGTGGTTGTGCGCCTTGGTGTCCCTGCTGTCCCAAAGGCAAGATAGCAGGGAAACTTGGTAAAACCGCCTTGGAGACCCATTGGGAATTCCACCATTTTGGAGTCTCTGATGACCTCCCAACCATACTAATCATACTTCAAGGCGTCCAGCAAGGTCTTGATGCTGTTGTAATCCTCTTTGAGGCGTACCGAGTGAGTCAGTGGAAGAGACTGGGACTTGTTACCATTATGGAGCAGCACGGCTTTGAGGCTCCTGGATGAGCTGTCAATGAAGAGGCGCCACTCATTCTGGTTACAGGCGATTCCAATTGTCTCGAACAGACTGGTCACATTGTGGCAGAAGCAGAGCCCATCTTGAAGGGTGAAGAAGCTGCAAAAAGGTTGGTGACGCTTCCTCTGATCTGCGACTTGCACACTTTCATCCAACAAGTTCCACTGCTTGAGCCTAGACGTCAAAAGCTCGGCATTGGACTTGGTGAGACCAAAATCTTTGATCAAGTCGTTGAGGTCTTTTTTATTGGGGTAGTATGGATTTCTCTCCTCAGCTCCACCTCTGAAATTACCATCTGGATCTACAACGGCTTCCTCGCTCTCTGACTTGCTGCTCTCTTCTAAAGACCGCTGCTCTCTCCCCAGAGGAGTGGGTACAGGGAGGTTCGGATACGTGATAGCAGGTGCATTCTTGCCAGTCCGACGTTTGGAAGGGTCCACCATGCAGAAGTAGCAGTTGCTTGAGTGGTCAGTGGGTTCCTGCCAAATGCTTGGGATAGCGAACTTCATGGCTCGCTTTTCCCCTCTGTACCATCCTGCAAAAATACATTTATTTCACCCATGACTAATGTGTAAGAAATTCATATATGATATATTTAATTTGTAAAACATTTTAAGATTAAAAACTTTTACAATTAAAATTTTTTAAACAAATGTTTTAACATAAAATTCCAAGCAACAATTGTCCATCTTACCTTCCAGAGTTGTTTGCATTGCTCGCAGGTGAAATGAGGTGCCCAGGGTTTGTCTTGATCCCCGACAGGCATGCCGAAATATGCCTTGTAGGCCTCACACATCTTAGCAGATGCTTGCTCAGAGTACTTTTTCGCACGTCTTAATAAATTGGCCGCAGACGTAGCAAAATGCGTCTGCCGGATGCATGCAGCCTCTTGATGCCATCTCAGAAAAATGCAGATATGTTTCCACTTAGGCAGCTGTAAATAAACTGACCTGGTGGGCTTAAGGCCTCTATATTTATACTACTATTTATATTACTGGAAAGTTCTAGAATTCTCTAGATGTTACTCCAAGTTTACTCAGCACTGAATCTATCTGGAATGTTTGGGAAAATAGGTAAATTTCTAAATATCAATGTCCTGGTCACAAAAAAAAAGTTTGTGGGGAATAATAGCCATTTTCTCTACTTTTGAGGCATAAGCAATTATGAAATAACACTTACTACCCAGGAACAAAAAATTTAGAATAAATGTTTACACAGTGTAATCGGAGGTGCGAAACGGGGGGCAAAGCAGCTGACAGCACAGACGGCTGGGGGTGGTGGGGGAAGTAGTTCCATAACATGGGGACAACAGGGGAGAATGAGCGACATCATCACACTGAGCGATGGCTCGCTTAGGTTCATTGACGGGGAAAGCCTCGGTTGCTGGTAAGGGCAGAGTGCCGGAGTACGCGGCGGAGACGGAGGTGACACAGGAGAGGTTTGCAGAAGCGAGCCAACAACGGAGGGCGACCCTTCAAGACTGGTGCCGGGAGCAAGTGCGGGGGGATTCGAGTATTGGGGGTAGCAAGGTCACACGAGTGGGTTGCAAGTGAGAGGAGTGATGGAAGAAGTATGTTTAACTCTTCGCGGTTTAGTGATGGGGATTTTTGGAATACCTTTGAGGAGAGAGTGTTGTACGCGTGCACGTTGAACTTCTTTTCGCACCGTAGTCGAATCGGGATGCGATGGTGACTTGGCTGAGGGCGTCTCGGTGGCGGCTGGAGATAAGGAAATGGCGGGAGATGTTGTGGAGGTGGCATGTGAGGTCCTGCAGACTTTGAGATTAGGCGATAGAACAAAGGCTCAGGATCAAAGACAGGTCACGGGTTATGTAAACTCCTTGCGAGTGTAACAACCATCATCTCCACGTACCCATTGGTGGTGATATGGACACATATTAAGCAACTGTATGTAGCCATATGGCCTTGTGTATGAAGACCCTGATGTTGCCGTCACCGTGTGGTGGTTCACGCATGGTGGTCTTTGAAATCGGTGTACAAGGACCGCCGCCCCCCCCCCCACCACACTCATTCCTTGTCCCGTTGATGAATGGGCGATTCTAATGCGCAACGTGTGGAACGGGTGGAGGCGGGGGGTGGAGAGAAATTACAAATCTCCCCAAAAAAATCTCAATTAGCATGGATGGGAGGGCAGCACCCCAGACAACATTCGCCTCTGCTTGTTTTACAAGACGAGTGGGCCTCTCTCTCTCTGGGCATCATCACCTCCTCCACCTCGACCACCTCTCCCCCCCACTCTCGCAGCAACCCCTCTCCCCAACAACCCTCCCACAACTCTGCTACCCACTTGTTTATAAATAGCTTTACAATTATGAAACGTGCAACAAAAAATAAAAAAATCTCGGGCAAAATTTTCATTAGTGGCTTGTAATGAGGAGGCACTGCATATTTTTCTGTGAAGATTATTGCCTCTTGTAGAAATTGTCTGCTGAAGGCAAGTTAATAAGGGAGGGGCGGGAGAGAGGGGTGTAGAAGGCATTGCATCTCTGGTGGTGTCATAAATTTAGTGAAGCAAAAAATATGTATTAGGCAGCAATATACACTGAATACTGTATGCATAAACATGTATTTTGTACTCTGTATCAAATACCCTGAACGTTTTCTCCCTTCGCGTTGCAGCATGGCTGCCTCCCATCGCAGGCGCACAGTGGAGCGGGCGATCCCGTTCACATCTCGCCCATTTCTACATAACAACACCCCAACCCATAAATAAGGATCCTCGGCCCTCATCTGCCCCCCTCCCGAGAAGGCCCCCGTTAATTCCCAAGACGTCCAGGACATTGGCGAACCTTCGGAGCGTCCGCGGTGATGTAGCATGGATGGCTGGCGCGCTCGCACCCAAAAAAAAAATTGCCACAGAATTTACGAGCGAACACAACCGCGTTCGGGCTTTCTGGCGCTGACGTTTAATGGTCGCAGCTGCATAGTAATTTCCTCCCAGCAGAGCCTTTTCATGGCCAAGTCACAAGATTAATAAGGTGCTTTTCTCCATGCTCAGTGCACCGCAATCACTGAAATTAGTCATAAAGCCTGCAGTCTTGCAGAGAATTGAGAGTGGGGTTACGGTGGGGAGAAATTGATGTGAAATTGAGAAAATCGAAAGCGCCACACTCGTAGCACTCTTGGCTGCGTTTGATGTGCTTCGCTTTACATTAAAAGCTCCTCGATTGTGCACACACGCACACAGAAACCGGTCGTGAAATGATCTCCATCCCAAAAAAATTATACACGGTGCATATTCGGCGACTAGAATCAAAATGTTAATGCAACCTCCTGCATGTTAGAAAATACAGATATAGTGCTTAAATTTATGATTTCCGAAAAATGATGTTTTTGAAGGGGGCCTTGATACTAGCGGGTCACTTATTCTTAAGTCAGGGCAGAAATACGGTTCTAAAAGAATATCAGCTTATTAAATGGATGCTGTGAAGTGTCATGATCAATTTCAATTCAATTTAGATGGCAAACTTTGATGGTGAAATTGTGTTTTAATTGTTTCATTGCCTAAAATTTTGTATGAACGGGAGGGTATTGCAGCTTATGCTGCACACAACCGTCTCTGAAAGAATAATTTTCCTGATATTTCATTTTTTTTAAGTATCACAATACAGTGTAAATATATTTCGGTAAAACGTAAGTGGTTGTATAGATTCAAAATGGAGGAGAGCACAGACATTATTAAGGATAATAGTGTACATGTTGAGTTCACATGGCTCCATTCACAGGTGTAATGCGCTGTAGATGAGTTTACATTGTACGTCATTTTAAACGAGTAGTGTAGCTAAAAGTGCAACTGCACGTGTTTGCGTACAAAAAATATATTATGTTTGAACTCCCCCTGCATATGAAGCAACACTTGGCGTAGAATCTTTTTTAGTGAGGACATGCAAATTGTCGCAGCTTGGCAGTGTGCATCCGTGTTGCTTCGTGCAGTTTCTTTACAACACGAAAAGCCAATAGCTTTTGCTATTGTTCGCCACCAATGACCTTAAACCAAGGAGCATTTTGAAGGCTCTGGAAGCACTTTTGCGAGATGTTTTATAGATAACAATGGCTCTGATTATGTTTGCCAACTTTTCAGCTTTTTTCCCGTGGTGCAATATTACAGTAATTATGGTCGCCACTTGCGTCATTAATTAATTTGTATTTATTAATTAACCACGTCAAGTATTCTTTCATGTAATTTTGGCCAGAAAATGTATCCCTATCACTAAAAAAAGGCTACGTATTTCTGTCACGATATGAACATAAATGATCATCAGCCATGGTTGATCCACTGCTGGGTGAGGCTTCCGCATGCCACCGCCATCCCTCATGGTCCAGCACTGCTACCCTCCACCTCATTCATGCACGTGATGCACCTCCGATTAGCACGGTTGGCTACATACAGTGCGAAAGAAGTTCAACATACATACATGATCTTGGGACCTATTTTGCCAGTATCAAAGTGTGAAAAATAAGAATAGGTTTTACCCTTTCTGGCAATAAAACAGGTGTTAAGATGTTCAACACCAAATACTGTAGATACACGTACTTGTGGTGAACATGCAAACAAAACAAGCCCTGATAATATGTTCACCACAAGTACGTGTGGTTAATGCAGACTACAAAATGTATCTATAGTATTTGGTGTTTGAACATCTTAACACCTGTTTTATTGCCAGAAAGGGTAAAACCTATTCTTATTTTTCATACGTGGTCTTTTTATTTTACCAGGTAAAGCTCACTAAGATATATATATGTTTTTCAGAAGCGACCTGGTCACAAATGATAGCTCAAGTGGCTTACCATGTGGAAATTTATTGCAGCCTAATACTCTAAACGCACATTTTAAATGTGGAGGGAAAAACCGTAGGACCCAGAGAAAAATCCACGCGACCACGGGGAGAGACACGCAAACTCCAAATACACAGGTGTCAGGGTCGTGATCGAACTCTTGCATACCAGGCGAGGGAGTTAACATCTCGCCACCGCGGCACCCCCTGATCTGATCTCATTGCTCCATCTCCGCAGTGGTCGTCCACTTATATGCATCGTTTCCTTTGCCATTCGGTCACCAGTCTCATCCATCAACCATCTTGCAACAAGTCCGACCCAAGCCCATTTAACTGTCAACAGCAGGTATCTGATTTGTCTGTTCCATAATCCTCGTGTTTTTTTTTCTGTCTCTCAGTGTAGAGTAATTCCAAGCGCAAATCTCTCAATTATTTTTTCTAGTTTCATGGTTGTATTTACATTGCTCTTGTCAGGCTCCATCTTTCTGATTCATCTCTGGCAGTTTGCACTGATTTAAACTTTATTCTTCATACTTGATTTGATTTTATTCTTCATATACCATATTCAACTTTCCAAAGACCATAGGCACACAGATTCCAATCTCTCTGTCCCTTAAAGGTTCTTTAACATTTGTCTGGTCATATCTATCTTAAGTCCAACTTTAGCAGCCTTCTTTGTGAAATTCTCTATAATCATTTTAAAAATAATTTCACTGCTTTTTAAAGTGACGATGTTATCAGGAAGTCTTGAGAGGGCTAAACTTTCTTCATTTATGTTTAAGTCTTAATTTTTCGAATGTAATATTTGGAACATTCGCTAGTATTGATAAAAAATAACCTTGGTGTTAGCATATCACCGAAGCTAACTCCTTTTTGATTTGTATTCACATCTCAATGTAGCAATTCGTTATGTGTAAATGTGTAATGTTTTTGTAATGTTCATATATATGACTCATGCCTAACTTTGCGAGAGCTTAGATGGCTGCTTCAGTCTCCGCCAAATCAAAATTAATTCTCATAACTGATGAATCGTGGCATTATGGTATTCCATATTTACGTCTTTCTACGACTCGTTGATATTGTGTATGTAGACAAGTGTTAGAAAACCCTTTCTTAAACCCAGCTTGCTCACATAGGTCTCCTAACTTTGGTCCAATAGCTGGTTCCTCAACTATGATGAGGTCCACAGTTGTTCCATCCAATCTGGAGCATTCCCTGGTTTCACACTGCCAGGCCCAGTAATGGCTTCCTCAGGTGTAAGATCCAGAACGTAATTTTCCTCATCCCAGACAAGTTTTATTGCTGTAGAGATCAGCATAAAATTCCTCCACCGGGGTTTAACGGTTGTGTGTCTATATCGTGTGTTATGGTTCTGTCTAGCTCTCTCAGAGTGACCATTTGCGATTTCTCATTACAGTACCAATGTAGGTTCTCTGCTGTCATGCAACCATTGTTTACCGGGACGTCTTCAATCATCCATCTGGCGTCTCTGGCGTCGCATCCTCTGATTTTCATCTCATTCGTTTCTGGATAGCTTTACAGAATTCCATCTATTCTACATCTCGTTCGGATATTTTTCATCTTTCTTCTTTCCTTCATCAATAATTTTTTGCAGCGTCACAGCTCACTTTGAATTGTGACGTTTCCCCCAACTTTCTGTGCACTGTGCATTGCAATTATTTATAATACATAACATGAATAATATACCGGCCTTTGTCAATCCATTGCCGGATGGATGTCTTCCCCATACCATGAGAGTCATGTGGGTTGTTCGAACAAATACTTTGCCACGCTCATCAGAGCGGGCTGGCGAAGTGGGTGGTCAAGATTGGTTCATATGTTATTCGCCACTGATGTTAGCTATGGTCAAGAACTGGTGTGCTTCTGCGGCCGTCTGGAACGCTCTTCTTCATAATATTAAGA